GCTTACATATATAATATAGAACATTGCATATATAGAACATTGCTGTATAGAACAATATATAGATAGAACATATAGAACATTTTTCTATATTATATATACATATAATATTCCCTCACCAGTATACTGTGTTGTTTGCATGAGTTCACACTTTATATCAATATTATGCTTCATGTACCAATCTGTGGTTTGCTTCTCCAGCTTATTATTATATTTTGGAGATTTATCCATGTTGATACATTTAGCTCTGGCTCATTCTATACTGCTGCCTCATATTGTTTTGTTTGAATTTTTATGTGCATTTTCCCCTTTGAATGTTTGTCGACTCCAATTTTTCGCACATTGCAATGTACATTCTTGTCCCGCTCTGAAAACTTCTCTAGGACAAAGGCTTTCAAACTTACCTGACTGCCACCAACTATCAGAAATGCATTTTACAACAGGCCCTGGTGCAATGCACACATACACACAAACATAAAGTGTAAGATACTGTCAGAAATACTCTCCTAGTGGCACCTGGCTGGCTTAGTTGGTGGAGCATGTGACTCTTGATCTCAGGGTCAGGAGTTCAAGCCCCACACTGGGCATAGAGTTCACTGGAGAAAAACAAAAACAAAAACATAAGAAATAAACTTAAGTACTCTCATAATTTCTATTGTAATTTATTCTGTTTCATTATCTCAAATTGTGGTTATGACTTACTTTATCACTTTTAGAACCATCAGTGAGAGCCCAGTTTGGAAACCAGTGCCCTAGAGCAAATACCAGGAAGTGGAATGGCAGGGCTGTGTGTGTGTGCACACCTTCTACTTTATTAAAGATGGCTAGAGTTGTGCAGATTTATACTTCATCAGTAGTGTGCAAAGAGCACCTAGTGCTCCACAGACTCACCAACACTTGGCATCAATTGGCTTTTTAATTTCTGCCAACATGATGAATGCAAAATCGTGCCTCTATGGTTTCACTTTGTATTCCCCTGATGAACAGTGTGGTATATGGCACCTTTCCCTGGGTATAATGGCCGTTGTGATTCCTCTTGTGTGCATTGCCCGCTTATACCCTTCACTCAGTTTTGATTAGGTAGTTTCATTTTGTCTTTAGCTTTCTTGGCCCTTTGCCTTTCTATATAAATTTTATGACCAATTTATCTTCTTGCACTAAAAATACTGAGATTTTAATAAAAATTTGTTTAAATTTTATAGATTATTAGGGGAATCTGACATCTTTATGATGTTGTCTCTTCATATCCATGAGTTTTGCATACATTGCCATCATTCATAATTTATTCTCTGCCCCTCAATATTTTTATTTCACTTTTTCTCTTCTTTCCCATTTTAGTTCAATTCATTCCTGAGTTCTCTAAAGCTTTGTTGGTACTATGAAGAATTTTTTCTATTACTCTTTCAAATGCCTCCTATTTCTTTTTCTTGCCTTATTGCACGGGTAGAAAATCCAATACGATGTTGGATAGGAGTGGCGAGAGTGAACATCCTTGTCTCAGTTCCGATTTTTGAGGGAAAGCATTCAATCTCTAACCATCAAGTATAATGTTGGTTGTAAATTTTTCATAAATACTCTTTATTAAATTGACAGAGTTCCCTTCTCTTCCTACTTTGCTGGGAGTCTTTAATCATGAAACGATGTTGAATTTTGTCAAATGCTTTTTTCTGCATCTATTGAGACATTTTGTAGTACTTTTACTTTAATTTATTAATATGTTGAATTCTATCAAAAAAATTTTTCTTGTGTTGAGCAATTCTTAATTCTTGAAAAATACTTTTTAATGTAATTTTGAAATTTACTTTAAAAATCAATTTTTAATATCACTAATAGCATACTAGTATTTCCTTTTCAAAAGTTAAAGCATCCCTGTATAGTATTTGCAAACACACAACGTTTTTCTGGAAGGATGCATGAGAAATTGGTTATAATGATTATCTCAAGGAAAGGGAACTGGGTGGTTGAGGGATATAAGGAAAGCAGTACTCCTAGTAACTGATTTATCCTTTTTGTATTTTGTTCCAGGAGCATTTAAATCCTTTTGAAAATACTGAATCAAATTACATTCCAGAAAATGCTGGAGTTCCTTTTGTCCACTGTGCCTAATTTCTTTTTCCTTCTTAATGGCCCCTGAAGTTACAAAGCAGTGAATTTGGTGTGCTTCCTCTGAGGGATATTCTTTACATTTGGCAACATTATAATATTTTAAATTTTAAAAAGGAGAACATACTTGTGTATTCTTCTAACACTTTTCTCCTGCTTTTATATAAATATACATATATATCCATAGAAACTGTAGAGTAACATTTTGTGTTGTGTGTATGTGTTATGAAAATGAAGTCATACTACATGCATAATTCTGATTTTTTTGCTCTAGTATTTGTGTGTGTATATGTATATAAATATATATATAAGATCTTATTATTTTACTTTTTATTTTATATATATATATTTAAGATTTTATTTCTTTAATAGTCTCTACACCCAACATGGGACTTAAACTCACAACCCTGCAATCAAACGTCACATGCTGTTCTGACTGAGCCAGCCAGGTACCCCTAAGGAGCTTTATATTGTTACATAGACATCTTTTAAACAGTTGCACAGGATTATATAATATAAAACACATCACTATTCCTTTATCCATTCTAGAATTTCTCTAGGATAGATATAGAGAAGTGAAATTGTTTGTTTTTAAGGTATAAACATTTGTTGTCGTTTTAACAAATATTACTAAATTTCTCTCTAAAGAGACTATACTAGTTTCTTTAATGCACCAAGCCAGCATTTTCTTAAGGGTCTACACATTTCCCTTACGGACTTGCTGTGACCTCGATTGAACAAGGCATGTTTTGTCTCTGGACCCCCAGTGACTCCATCTGCAGCAGGAGGGAGTTGGGTGGACTCCACGAGTGTATGAGATAGCATAATGATAGGTTGCACAACCTCAGAGTGGGTCGGGAAGGACTGCCCTGAGCAGACAGCGGGGGGGAGGAGGAGGGCGCGGGTGGCAGCCAAGCAGGAGGCAGGCAATTTAGACTCACTTGGCCCTCATCTTGGCTCCTCCATTAGCGCAATGACAATTTATCTGGAGCTCTCATCCCAAAGACCCCTCTGGAAGAAGGCCTGGATACCCTTTTTCTGGGGGAGGGGGGAAACTCACCTCCCATCCCAGTGTCTCCCACAGGCAGAAATGGCAAGCAGGGTTAGCAAAATGTGTATATGGTAATACCGCCACTGAACAAATAAATACTCTTAACAAATACAGAGCAACATAATTGTGCTGGTCAAAGATAATGACAGGATTTATAGACAATATTAATTCGTAATGCACTACAGATGGTGTGATCCAGGAACGGAACACACATTTACAACTATATGAAGAATGTTTTCCTTTTCAACCCTGTCAGTGTGATGCTCTGACTGAATGTATAAGCGCCTTTGGAGAACTCTGAGTTTGAGCAACTTCCTGAATGTGAGAGGGACCAAACGCCCTCCCACCTTCTCTGCCCTCCGCGCCCCCCCCCCCCCCCCCCCCCGGCAGGTTCAACCACTGCAAGGCTGGCAGTGAAAGAGACATCTTGTTTAATGTTTCTAAATCGGATGACTGTGTTGATTACCCACACTTTGAACAAATCTGGATGCATTTTATGGTTTCCCAATGTATGCGTTTCGGTTATTTTGGTAGAATAAGAGGGGGAAAAAAGTTCTTCCTCCTTTGGAGTAACAACAAGGGAGGAGATGACACAGATGAAGTGGATTCTAAGACGTGGTGGGGGTGGGTTCAGGGCCACAGCAGATGGGGATTCTGAGCCACAGTAGAGGTGGGTTCTGGCGCAGGGACAAGGTGGATTCTGGGGACTTGGTAGAGGTGAATTGTTAGGTCAGAGACCAGGTGGGTTCTGGGACAAGGATGAGGTGGATTCTGGAACATGGTGGAGGTGAGTTCTTAGGTCAGGGACCAGCTGGGTTCTGGGAAAGGTGTGAGAGGTGGATTCTGAGGCATGATTAAAGTGGGTTCTGGGACAGGAGCAAAGTAGATGCTGGGACAGCAACAAGTAGATTCTGGGGCAGAACAGATGGATCGTGGGCCAGCCATCCTATTCCTGAGTTCTCAGAACCCGCCTATGCATGGAGCCCCAGAGCCCTTAACATGTCCCATGGCCACTGTTAGCTTATCTGTCTCCCACAGGCCTTAGCTCGAACATCACTTCCTCAGAGAGGCCTGCGTGGGGGGCCCCCACCCCATCACATGCCCTCTTGCTCCGAGCGTTCACCCTGCCCCGTACTTTCTCTTCTATTACTTTGCGTGCCAGGTGATGGTGCCTTTACTCCTGTGATTACTTGGGCACCCTGGACTCCTGGCCAGACTGTGGCTCCACGCGGGGAGGGGCCGCGTGTGCACCGCTCCCCAAGGAGCACAGGGCCAGGCACAGACAGGCTGCTCAACAGTCGCTCCTACTAAACCAAGGAGTTTTCCATGACACTAGGGATCCTGTTTGATTTACAGTTTCATTCCAAGTGCCTGAGCGGCCTTCTAAGTGCGCGGTGAATCAATAAATAAAAGGAAGAAGGGTGTCGGGGCGAGAGGAAGTGAAGGAGGAAAGAAGAGGGAAGGAAAGTGAAAGAGAATGGAAGGAAGTGTAGGAAGGAGAGCCGGAGCAGGGACAGAGACCGGGGGCGGGGGAGCAGAGGGGCACAGAAGGAGGAACGCAGAGCGAATGAATGAACACCCGCCCGCCCGCGCGCTCCGCCCCCGGACCCGCCGGGCAATGCGTCCCGGGGACCCCGGACACCGCAGCTCCCACAAGGCCACCGGAGCCGTCCCGCACGCGGCCCGCCCCCTAAGCGCCTGGGGTCCGAGCCCCGCCCCCGCGCGGCCCCGCCCCGCCCTCCGCCCGCGCCCCCTCCCCGCGCCGGCCCGGCCGCGCGCGGCATTGTGGGAGTTGTGGTCCGCGCGGCCTCGCGGAGCGCAGCGCGGCGTCGGCACCGGTGGGGGCACCGGCTCGGCTCCCGCTCGGGCTCCCGCGGCGTGGGCCGGGCGGTGGCCCCGCGGCGCGGGCAGGGGGCGTCTGCGCGTCCGCGCCCTCGGGCGGCGGCGTCGGCCCGGCCCCAGCGTCCGCCCCCGCCGCCCGCGCGCCCGGGCGCAGGTAAGCGGCGTCTCCAGGGGGCTGCGGGGGGTGGCGGGGGAGACGGCGCGGCCGAGCGGCTACCCCCCCACCCCGCCCCGGGAGAGGGGAAGGAGGCGGGGGCCGGACGGCTGCAGGCCCACGCTCCCCACGCCTGGCGGCGGCGCGGCCGCTGGAGGATGCTCGGGGACGCCGGCTCCAGCCCGCGCCCCGCATCTCGGCCGGGCCAAGGGGCCCCGCCGCCCGGTGCTCGCTACGTGCAGAGCGCCGCCGCCGGGGCTGTGTTGGCAGCGGGCTGTGATCACCACTTAGCACTCTCCTCGTAGCCCCTTCCCCATCGCGGCGCCCCCACCCTCTTCGTGACCCTCCTCCCCGCTCCTTTTCCTTGCCTGCTCTCCCCCTCCCCCCAGCCCTGAGCGTCACCCACTTCCCATATTTCCCGAGGTGACCCTCCTCCCCCGTCCCATGAGCTATCACCGTAAGCCACCTTCCCTAATCTTTAGCTGATTGCCCACTTTTCCTGTCAATGTTCACCTTTCCGTGGTCCCATCCCCCTCCTCCCCTGACCTCCTGGTGGTCACCATCTGTGTTAACCCATCCGCTGCCCCCCCACTTTTGGCGTCTCCGGAGTGGGTGGATGCTGAAAAAGCTGGCCTAGAAAGTGAGGAGGGGAGGTCTCCAGTTTCCCATGGGGGTAGGGCTGGTCCCAGGGCAGTTCACTGGGTCCTGGGTGGAGAGGGTGACCTGCATCACACACCTTGTCCTGCTCTGCCCTGTTCCTAGGGAGGACTTCTAGGGCGGCCTGGCCACACCCTGAGAGTGACCAGAAGCTCTTTAGCACTGGTCAGCCTCTTGGATTGTAAGGTGAATGGCATTAGCCAGGTTAGAGCTGAGTGTGTCCCCCAGATGTTCATCGTATCCAAAGTTGTATTTCACTGGACTTGCTCACCAATTGGCCACACACATGGACCCTATTCCCCAGAGCTAACTGACCTTTAGGATCTGAGTTATTAAAGGGCAGAACTGCAGTGACAGGTCCCTGTCCCTAAGGAGGACAGACATGAAACAGATGCAAATGATCAGATGTGTGAAGGAAACTGGGAAGTTACTGCGGTCCCTGAGCCAGGAACTGGGGAGGGGGAGAGAATCCATCCCCTTACCACTGGAGCGTTGGTGGTTGTCCCTGGGTGCTGTGAGGGTCAAATGTTGGAACCAGTACTTAATAAGCTGCCAGTCACCCTGCAAATGTAAGGGTTTTTATAGTGTCACATTTCAGCCTTGAGCTCTTAAATCCACCTCTGGGCTCAGGGGCCTGCCAGTGTATTTTGGCTAAAAGGAAGCGGCAGGTAAGAAAAGCCCTAACTTTGGCTGTCAGTGCCCTTTATGGGAACAGGATCCAAAGCTGGGTTCAGGGCATCAGGATCTTTTGCTACCTTTTGTTTATAGCTCAGCCTAGGGAGTACTCACAGCTGGCGTTGTCTAGAACTAGAACGAGGCTTCCCCCAGGAGGGGGGTGAGCAGGTAGAGAGATCCCCTTATCATCCGCCCTGTCTTCCAGGTTTTCATTGTGCTTGAGTTAAGCGTTTAGCAGAGCTGATGGGGACTGACACTTAACAGGTGTTTGTTAAGTTATCACCATCTCACTTCTCATGGAAGAGAAACCTTTTCTCCTGAGAGACTGAGTTTAAAAGTTCCAACTAGAGGTTGAACTCAGGGAGTAGGGGGAAAGGAGTCCTTTTAGTAAAAGCGCTTGTTTATCACGCAGATGACAGTTTCACACTGATTTCAGGAATCCCGGGGTTCTGGTTGGGAGACAGGCTTGCAAACAAAACACTGGAAAATCATCCTGAATTTTCTTTGCATTTTCTTTGCCTTCCCCTTTCGAGGGAATATGTGCCAATTATGGTATGGCTAGGAGAGAACCAGGGGCACAGAGGGGTCTGTTTCCATCCAGTGGGGCCCAGATCTGTGAAGAAATTGAGAATGTGTGAGAAAAAAAAATTGAGCTGCTAGCCTCCCCACTTTTGTATTTTTCCTAGAAACATAAAAACAGCCATAAATATTTGGCATGTGTGTTTTTGACTTGCTAAACATTATAGTCAAATGATTCTTAATTTGACCTAAGCTGGGAAGATGCAAGTAGGCAGTTAATGAGCACCTAAGGTTTTTCTTTCATCTTTAGCCTTGCAAGTCTGGGGACAAATAAAAGTCAGTTTAGATGCGTGGCAATGAGAGTGTCCAGAATTTGCCTTTAGGGTCCCTAGTCCTGAGATACCTGTCCCCAGTGCCCCTCCTTTGCTTTGCTGGCTGATCAACATGGGGTGCCACACATCTAAGCACATGTTAAATGTTCGCTGTGACATCCTAAGTGGTTTGCATCTGTCATCATGCCACATCCTGGGAGATGAGTATGACCACGTCTTGGAGATGAAGGAACTGAGACAGAGGGGAAGTGTCCTGCCCGTGGTCCAGCCCACCTCCAGTTTGGGTTCTTGGCCTCTCTGCCACCTCCCAAGAATTTTCTGGCCAAATGTAGTCCTCAGAGAAAGGAGAGGGGACAGCTTTCCCGGTTTTTCAGTTGCCTTCTGTTCCCGAGAGAGAAGGTAGCACACAAAACGGTTTTTCTGAATTATTCGGCCCCTTGAGCTGAGGGAGTGTGTTAGGCTTGTGGGAGATTGTAGATCTGGCTGTTCTCAGAAAAACCAGGCTGGACAAAGGGTCTCAGCTGGGAAACACGGCTAGGGTTTTGTAGACACGGGCAACATGGCTGCTGGGCTCTGATCATACTTTTAGGTTATTAGGGTAACCAGGGTGCCAGACACTGGCCCGAACCATTGGCGGGAGACTTGGCACAGCGTTCCTGTCTGTTCTGGAGACAAGAGACCTGAGTGGGCTTCTGTTTCCATTCTCCCCCATCACTTCTTCTCCTAACCTGTGGGTGAGACCAGTGAGTAGTCTCCCGAGAGGATAGACAGAAAATGCCCTGTGTCTGCCATGGGGGCGACCCCCAAGAGCCCACCTCCCCTTCCAGCTTGAGTTAAACCCAGCCTGTGTCAGCAGGGCAAGAGAGATTAAGTAAGAATGATGAAGCGAAGTGAAAGAGAAAGTAAAATGGGGAACGTTCAGTTTTATGGTTCCTTTGCCATTTTTTAGGAATCATTTATTTATTTTAAGTCATCTGTATGCCCAACCTGGGGCTCGAGCTCTTGACCCCGAGATTGAGAGTCGCTCGCCCCACTGACTAAGCCAGCCACATGCCCCTTCTCTGCCATTTTTAAGATGCTTTTGAATCCATATCTCTCTGTAAAGGTACAGAGACTTAAGGAGAACAAGTAGTTATGAAATGCCTACTAATGATAGTTATCACCCCTGCAGTCAGTTGGGGTGTGTGTCCCTGCCCTGGCCACCTGAACTTGGGTGAGGTATAGGACCTCTCAGGGTCTCAGTTTCTGCACCTGTAAAATGGGGCTGATCGCACTCCTTAAGGGTGACACAGAATAGGTGGGGCTTGTGTAATTGTCGGTACTGAATGTAAATTACTCACCACTGGCCTTTTGGGAAACCGGGGTGGGGGGTGTGTGGTAAAATGGGGAGAGAACACCCAAGATTGAGAAGTGTGTCCCCTACCCACAAGGACCTTCCAGAAGGATCTGGGATTTTACATTTCAGTTGAGGATCTTTCCAGGTATAAAAATTTATGCTGGTTTACCTTTCTTTTCTCAGGTTTGAAAATTATTTCACGGTGACCGACCCCACTTGCTAGTGTGACAGAAAGCAGCTCCTTCTGCCCAACCTACAGTGACTTTTTTGCCGGGAGCGGGGTGGTGAGCCCAGATGTGGGTCAATGCCACCCGTGGCGGGATCCGAAGAACAGTGGCAGCCATGCCTCTCCCGGCCCCAGCCGCCCCTTCCCCCCTACGCTAAGCTGCATGGTGTGGGTGCCCTTGGGATCCCCAAGGACTGACTGTCTGACCTTGCTTCGCCCCCCGCCCAACGCCAACTCCCCCAAGATGTCGCTCGAGTGGCTGGTGGCCTGGGGCTGGTCACTGGACGGCCTGCGGGACTGCATTGCCACGGGTATCCAGTCAGTGCGGGACTGCGACACTACCGCTGTGGTCACCGTGGCCTGCCTGCTGGTCCTGTTCGTGTGGTACTGTTACCACGTGGGCCGCGAGCAGCCCCGGCCCTATGCGTCCGTCAACTCCCTGATGCAGGGCGCAGACACCAACGGGCTGCAGAACGGGTACGTGTACTGCCAGTCTCCCGAGTGCGTGCGCTGTGCCCACAACGAGGGCCTCAACCAGAAGCTCTACCACAACCTGCAGGAGTACGCCAAGCGGTACTCCTGGTCCGGCATGGGCCGCATCCACAAGGGCATCCGCGAGCAGGGCCGCTACCTCAACAGCCGGCCCTCCATCCAGAAGCCCGAGGTCTTCTTCTTGCCCGACCTCCCCAGCACACCCTACTTCTCTCGGGACGCACAGAAGCATGACGTGGAGCTGCTGGAACGGAACTTCCAGACCATCCTGTGCGAGTTTGAGACCCTCTACAAAGCTTTCTCAAACTGCAGCCTCCCGCAAGGATGGAAAATGAACAGCACCCCCAGCGGGGAGTGGGTCACCTTTTACTTGGTCAATCAGGGGGTTTGCGTTCCCAGAAACTGCAGGAAGTGCCCACGGACGTACCGCTTGCTCGGAAGCCTTCGGACCTGTATTGGGAACAATGTTTTTGGGAACGCGTGCATCTCCGTGCTGAGCCCAGGGACTGTGATAACGGAGCACTATGGCCCCACCAACATCCGCATCCGGTGCCACTTAGGTATGTCGCGGGGACAGGGTTTCAGTGTGCAGCCTGCCAGACACGGCCGCCCCGGCAGCCAGAATCGTGCCCGTTCACTCGCTGCCCTGTACTTCTGTCAAAGATTGATGAATTGCGTGCAAACAGTTTTGACCGCAGGGATTGAGTCAAAAAAGGAACTTGTGAGCAATATGATCTGACAGAAGGTCTGTCCAGGGGATCTTTCTGCGATGATGGAAATGGTCTCCATCCGCACTGTCCAAGTACGGTAGCCTCTAGCAACGGGTGACTATTGAGTGCTTGAAATGGGGCTGGTGCCGGCAAAACATGGAATTCTTCACTTCATCTGAATTAAAGGGGCACCCGTGGCTAGCGGATACTGTATTGGGCAGTGTAGCTCGAGAGTCAGAGGCTATTACAGCGATCACAGGTTCATACTGACATCGGGCGGCTGTAAAACATGCCCCAGTCCCTTCCGAATCAAGGGTGAAGTCATGCTGGGTGTTAATGCTGAGTTTATTCAGATTCTAGGGCAGTTGGTAACGTGCGCGGCAGTGGTTTTGAGAACGGATCAGAGTCAGCTCGGTGGTGCTTGCATCCTGGCCCCACCGCCTGCTGGCCATGTTACTTGGGGCAAGTCACTTTTCCTCCCTGGACCTCCGTGTCCCCATTTAGAAGGGAGAGGTTAAAAAGCTCATCCCCCGTGGAGTTACTTGGAGGGTCTGATGAGAGAACGTGTGTTGTGAAGCACTGACTCACACGGAGCCGGACGTGGAGTACTCACCCTTTAGTTCGGCTTCACCACAACTCAGTACACAGGGACGTTTGTTCCCCAGAATGCCTTGTTCCTGGTGAGTCATGATAATGGGTTGGCACCCCCAGTTAGCATCCCAGACGGGGGGAGGGGGTGGGGAGGGCGTGTCCAGAGCCCGGGCAAGGTCGGCTTCAGGATGTTTGCAGCGTTGGCTGCCTTGGCTTCAGAACAGAAGAAGAAAAAGCCCATGCAGAGGAGCCCGGGTCTAGGCTGGAGCCAGGGGCTCATGAGTGTTCTGTAGGGGAATCTCAGCGCAGCCTGGGGGGACCTGAGCCGGACGCCCCGGGCCTTGCAGCCCTGCTTCCCCTGGAGCCCTCTGCTTCCCCTGCCCCATGTGGGGATCCTGAGCAAGATATGACGTGGACAGAGGGCTTCACTGTTTTAAAAAACAATTAGATTCGAGTAGTTGACACCTTGAGTGTTTCAAGAGCGGGACAGGGGCGAGGCGGCAGGGGAGGCGGCCTGCCTCTGTGGTCAGCCCTGGGACTCTGGGCAAGTAACGGAGTCTCTCTGTGCCTCAGTTTCCTCATCTGTAAAATGGGGAGGTAGCCCTCACCTCAGGATCGCTGACAGGGTTAAATAAAGTGGTATCTTCTGTGGTTACTTGGCGTACAGTGGTGGTAACTAGTAGCTTCTGTGATGAAACCCATGCTGGACAGTCTAAGAAAGGATCCCTAAGACCTGGGCCCTCGGGAAATAGTAGGAAACGATCGGACTTCGGAAGCAAGCGCCCCCGGACTCAGCTCTGTCGGCCCCATCTGCCGAGTGATCTTGGCTGGGACCCCAAAACTCTGGGCCTCTAGCATGGGGTAACAGTATGTGCCCAGGGGCTCTCTGGAGGATATGAAGTAGCACATGAAGAGTACGGGCAGGTACAGGGCAGTCAGGCAAAGGGCACTCTGATTAATTGAGGGGGTGAGGTGGCCATCTGAACGATCTCAGTAAGGTCGCTGTGCAGGGCCCCAGGGTCCACTCAGATCCGAGCGTGCAGGGCTGCAGGCGGGCTGCCGGGGCTGCCAGGGTGGAGCGGAGGAGCCTTCCCCCCGAGCCCCAGACGTGGCTGGCTGCCAAGTCCAGGGTGGGAGCAAGCCGCGGGGGGGAGCCCGCCATGCCCGGCTTTGGGATTGAGGCTGTGGGCCATGGGGAGCGGTGCTGTGCTTTCTTCAAAGGTTTTCTTTGGATGTTTTTCAAAAGCTTCAGAGTGACCCGGAGGGAAGGGCATCTGCGGACTGAGGTAGAATTCCAGGCAGGTGTGTTGAGTAGCAAGGCGGGGGGTGGTGGGGGTGGTGCAGAAGACCTAGGCTTTGCGTCCTGGGCATGAATGCCTGTCGCGCATTTGAGCGTAAACCATGCCCCCACGGGCCCTCGGTATGACCTGTCATTGCCTTCTCAGCCCAGCTAGTTCTTGCCACCAGAAAAACTGGGCCGTGTCATGTTCTCTTGGAAGGAGTCCTGTTGGACTGTGGCCGCTTCCCCGTGGCCGGGGCAAGTGCCCTGGTTGGGTTTGCTCAGCATTTCCTTCTTTCCACTGTCATGCGCACGTACATGTCCACCCTGGGATGAAACAAAGGTGGGTTCGACCCCCGTGACCTTGGGTGTTGCCAGAGAGGAAGTGAGCCTGGTACGTCCCTGGCAGCCGCGCCTGGGCCAGTCTGCCTGGCTGGAGTGCAGGAGGCACCCGCAGTTCCTGAGCCGTGCTCTTGAATTGCCAACCTTTGTCCCCTTTTGCTGCCTTCCATCTGAGCTGTGACTCATGGAGCTGTCCCTGCAGACACCTGAAACCCCAGCCCCCCAGTCCATTCATTGGTGGTCCAGGGACCACTCCGAGCCACCTCTAGAGGTGGCGTCACTCGGTCTGGACCCCACGTAGCGCCGTGGGACAGCTCTGGCCACAGGGCTGGGACATCCCGACCGCATGGCCCCAGACCTCCAGTAAGCGACCTCTGACGCTCACGAGGCAGATTGACTGGGAAGGCAGATGTCCTTCCACATGGCCAACCCTCAGGAAAGGGTAGATGAAAATGCATGAGCATATTCAGCAAATTCTTGCTTAAGAAGCACAGACTCTCCTTGCCTTTCATGAGCATGGTGTTGGGTTTCTGGGCCGCCTAGCTGCATGGGACTGGCGGAGCCACTTGTGTCCACCTTGCCCACCTGTGTGCCAGCCTCCGGCCTCCCGAGGTGGGGGCCACTGGCGCACGGAGCCCTTTCTGCACCTTTGGCCTTCCTCGTTGGTTGGTTGGTGGGGACAAACAGCAAGCCCTCAGCCAGAGGACATGGGGCCTATCTCGATCCCCAAGAGCCACCCGAATGCTCTCTCTGGGAGAGTATTGATCATCTCTGCCGACTAGGCTGGTGTGCGGGCAGTAGGCAGGGATGGGGGTCCGCTGGAAGGCCGGGGCATGAGGAAGGGGAAGGCAGAAGAAAGTAAGCAGGGGGCTGTCAAGCCAGCAGACCAGACCGTTTTTCTGTTGTGCTGTGGTGCACGGTGATGAATCATTTGGTGGCCCAGAGAAAGGAGAGCTGCTTTCTGGAGCCCTGGGGTGGAGGGTCCCCTCAGAGAGCCACCGAGTCCTAACGGACTCATCCACCCGAACCGGTCAGCGAGGGCTCCCTGTCCCTCCGGGCCCATCGCAGCCCTAACCCCACCCCCCTCCCCAGCTGTTTGTAACCCGTAGCGGGAGATGGGAGATCGTGGTTCCAGAGTCAGAATGCTCCTTCTTGCCTGATTCAGTGAGATGTCCTCTTCAAGAGTGGAAACCTTAACTACAAGAATGGACAATCACTTTCGTACCACGACTACTGACATACTGGCCAGTGTCATTAGAGTCCATTCTGTGGAGCCGGCTGGATTTGGATTCAGACCTCAGGTCCCCACCAGGACTGAATAGCAGACTTCGGGCAGGTCATGTCACTTCTCTGAATCTCAGCCACTCCATCTGGAGAGGGGGTTGAAGGGAGGTCTGAAAAGGGCCGATTTAGCCCAAATCTGCACTCAGGCAGTCTGTATGCTCTCGGTGGCAAGGACAGTGGTCACGTAGCCCCGAAGGTGGGTTCCCCTTTACAGGCTCCAAGAGGTGAAGTGACTTGCCCAGAGTCCCATGGCACCCCAAGTCCCCTGTCCTTGCCACTCTTCCATGTGAGTTCCTCCTGCACACGTGCTTCCAGAAGCTGTCCGTTTCTAGTTCAAGGGCCGCGTGAAAACGCTCTGTTCGCGAGAACTCTGTTTCATATTCGTCCTAAGGAGTCAATTGGAGGGGGGGCAGTGCCGGCTGGTCCTGCGTCATGGTTGTGCCCGTAGTTCCCGAAGACGGGCAAGACCACCACGATTCCACTCCCTCTGCCAGGGCCCTGCTTCCTCCCGCTGCATCCTTCCTGAGAGCCGTGGGGCCCACCCAGCCCCCTGGGAATCTGTTCCACGGCTGTGGTGGTGCCTCCATTTACAGATGTCCAGGCAGTGACAGGGGCTGGGTGTTCCCTCAGATCCTGGGGTGGGAGACGGGGATGTGAGAGTGGACACACAGCAGCATTTCAGCCAGGCCCACTTTCTGCGGTTACGTGCCCAAACTTGGCACCTTATGTGCTCGCCGTTGTGAGCAGATGGCTCCTTATGAAGGTGTGGACCTCTTTCCCCGTGGAGCTCAGGCATGGCCTTAGGGGTGACCTGCAGTGTCCCAGAGGGCGGCCAGAGGAGCTTAGACTAAGAACATGCCATCCTCAGGCCCCAACATGGATTTAAAGCTTGGAACCCAAAGAGGAGGGCACGGTTTCATCTCAACCAAAACAGCCCTGGAGACGGGACTGTAATAGTTTATTGGGCCAGGCGGGTTATGAACCTGGCCTTCCTCGATTAACACGGGTGGTCCACAGATGGGCTTCAGGAGTCTCAGAAGTGCAGTGCAAGCCTTCACTGAGCAGCCCGTGACCCAGAACAGATTAAGCCAATGGAAAAATGCATTTTTCCCCGGAGCTCAGTATGGTCAGCCTGTATTTGCTCTGTCGAAGCACCCCCACCCCACCCCAAACGGGGCTCCGAGGGGTGAGGCAGAAGGTCGGGCCCTTCAGAAATTGACAATTCACACCAAAACAGGCCATCCCCCACGCCACCTGCCTTCATTCTCTTTTCTTTGCTTTTCCCCCCAAAGGTCTCAAAACTCCAAGTGGCTGTGAGCTGGTGGTGGGGGGAGAGCCCCAGTGTTGGGCAGAAGGACGCTGCCTCCTCTTTGACGACTCTTTCCTGCACACTGCATTCCACGAGGGTGAGTGGCTGCCTTTTTTTTTTTTTTAAGTTATAGACTTTATTTTTTAGCGCAGTTAGGTTTCCAGAAAAATTGAGCAGAAAGTGTATACCACCCCCCCGTCACACACACAATTGCCCCTTTTGTTACCATCTTACTTTAGTGTGGTGCATTTGTTATAAGCGAAGAGCCAATATTGACACATTATTATTAATTCAACTCTGTAGGCTTCATCAGGGTTCACTCTTGGCACTGTATGTTCTTTGGGTTTTGACAAATGTATAGTGATGCGGATCCACCCTGACAAGATCATACGGAATAGCTCCACTGCCCTAAAAATCCTCTGTGCTCTGCCCACCACTTACTCACCCCTGCCTCCTTCTGCCCCTCTCCTTTCATACGTTCTGATCCATACCAGGGGACAGGATGGGTCCCTGCCTGAAAGCTAACTGTGAGGGCCAGCGCTGCGTGGGTCCCGGCTCCAGGCTGGTTCAAACCTCTCCTCTCTCGCGCCCCCCCCCCCCCGCCCCAGGTTCAGCGGAGGATGGACCACGGGTGGTTTTTATGGTGGATTTGTGGCATCCCAATGTGGCAGCAGCCGAACGGCAGGCCCTGGATTTCATCTTTGCTCCAGGACGATGAGAACGTTTCCGATGCTGGAGTTGGCGACAGTGGCCGCGGGTCAGCCTGGGCAGACTGGGGTACAGTCCAGCCCCCACCTGTGCTGTGATTCCATGCTCCAAAACCTGCCTCACCAGAAAGTTCTTATTTGGGATTTTGAGGTCACGTGGGGTCCCTCTTTCCTTTGGTTATTGTAAATGGGAAATTTTCAGCTTGTATCTCCTTAGATTTTTCTTTTTTTTCCTTCCAGTCATTTGCTTCTGCGATTCCTTTCTGCCTAATAGCGCGTTACTTTGCTCTGTGACCGGGGGCTCGGTGCCCTTGGTGTGACTGTCGTCTGTGCCATGTTGCATACCTGGTTTTTTCAGTGCTCTGGAATAGGGTAACCAAGCGGTTATCTGTCTGAATGTAATCACCTAAAAATTCCTTGTGGTCATCTTAAAAGAAAAACACACGAAACAAAACAAAAAACTGCAAACCAGAGAGCTAGAGACCTTGGCCTCTGTGGCTGTCACGGTCACACAGGGGACCCATCAGTCAGCCCAGGGCAGGGGGAGAGTCTGCAGTCCTCACACCTGGCCGGCTTCACAGGCAGGGTGGACCCAGTCAGGGGCGGTGCGCACGGCCGGGCCTGAGCGGACTTGTCACCATCGCTCACCTCACTCCCAAACCCCATCAGGTCCCCGAAGGCGGGGAGCATCTGGCTGGCTCCTCTGTAAACACGGCTTTCCTTCCAAGCCCGAGGCTGGTGTCCTCAAGAGCCAAGTCGGGGCTCCCACGGATCAGCTGCCGAATGTGTGATCCAGTCACCTCACTGCCGACAGAAGCCCTACTGCCAAACTGGGCCAGGAAGATTCCCCATGCAGCTGCTTCCGAGTCCATGGCGATGAGCGTTCAGACCAGCAGGCTGGCTGGTCCGAGCTGTGGTGCGGTGAGACCGCGCGCTCAGCCGGTGACATTCCAGCAACACCTTCCTCTGGCAAGACTGGAATCGTCAATCTGACCAAAAAAGTGTCTGTTTTGCTTTGGAGTTCTGTTGCCTCTGATTTTCCATTTATTTGTCTGTACATAAATGTTCAAGTGCTGGACTCCGAGACAGTGGAGGTGTCGGCCCTGTGTCTTTGTCATTGCGCAGGGGTGCACGCCGGGTGACGGCGACCTAAGCCAGGGGTGTGAGTGAGGCCTTTGGGAAGACCTACAAACCCAAAAGACCCACAGCGGCTTAGCTGGCTTTCTGGTTCCCTGGGGAGGACGTGGCCAGCTGGAGGCACAAATTCTGGAAACATTCTCCTGTGAGCTGAGGTGTGCAAGAGTAGCTTCCAGCCGTCCTAGAGATGCCTATTCTGAATCGTATTATGGGCAGTGTCCAATTTATAAAGCCACGGAGCTGCGTGGGATGTACAGCTGGTCACACATACAGGTCCAGAGTTCCGTCGGAGCGGACGGGAGGAGTGGCCGTGAGAAGTGACCATGACCCGAGAGGCCCTATTACTGGCCAGTGAGCAAAGAAAACCTGTCTCCATTTGAGTAAAATCTCTGCACCGATCTTTCTCCGTGAGCAGAATGCAGGACAGGGCAGCAGTTTCCAACACACCTGAAATCTTTTTACTCATTAGGTATCTTGTCAAAGAATCACCGAGGTGCATGATTTCTATACATACTGACTGCTCGCCGTTTACAAAGCCCACAGCCCACACGGGTACCCGGCTACCTGAGCTCATGTGCCGTGCTTGGGGGAACAGGAGATTAAATAAAGGACCTTGCTGAAAACCAGAGTGAACTGTGCCAGTGGTCTCTTGGGGAAGAGGGGGCACCTGGCCGGAGCTGCTGGAAGTTTTGATCGTGTCGCAGAGATGGGCGGGGCCCTACAAGCGCTGGTGTATATGGTGAGTGAGGCAAAAACGCGGTTCTCAGATAACCGGTGTGGGCTAACAGGAGCAGATCTGTGGAACGTTAAGGAACTCTAAGTGGCACACGGGGCAGAAAGCCGGGGGGCACTCGGGACTCCGTGCCAGGAGCTGGCTCCCACACAACCTTGGGCAAGTCACGGAGCTTCTGGGAGACTCTCTGTGCCCCACTGCAGGGATGGTGCCTGGTACATACAGCAGCAGCGAGGGTCCCCTTTCCCCTGTAGTGGTTCTGAGCAGGTGAGGAGGCAGGGCGGGAAGGAGGAGGTGGGTCAGCCAATCTGATCATGGTGGGGGTGGCCAGGGGAGCTGGCGGCTCCTTCCACTGCCTCACTACAGGGGAAGAAGCAGGTGCCTCAGTAGGTACGTTTTGAAATTTTCCCTTTTAAAGAGAGGTAGGTGACATGGGTGGCCTGGAGACCCAGGAGCAGCCGGGCTGCCTGGTGTTTTCCCAGCAAGCCCGCTTCCAGCCACAGTCCTGGCTGGGCTCCCTCAGCAAGCGGAAGGGAGGAGCACCACTTGCCCAGGGCTGAGATGTTTCTTGCTCTCCTAAAGTGTGCATTGCCAACTAGGCAATTGCTAAAATAATTTACACGCTACAGCTAAGGAGGCTCAAGGTGAGAAAGGGGAGCCAGCATGCCTGCCCCGCTTCAGATGAGAAGCCTGCTTCCATTCTGACACAGCCTGCACCACCTTCAAGCCCAGACTGCACAAGGTCACGTACCAGGGCCCCCAGGCACCTGCTCACTATCCCCCTGCATTCACCCAGATTGGGTTCTGGGTTACGCTTGTAATGTTGAATGGCCTATAGCAAATAGCCAGGGAGGGGAAAGGTGACCTAATCCACCAGTTCTAGACTTTGCACAATACAGTCACCTGGGGTGTTCTGAGAAATACTGATGCCCACACCCGCCCTCCCCCAAAGCATTGCATTTCTTTGTTCAGGGGGTGGGGCCTGGATCTCCGTATTTGTTTTAACTCATTTCCTGCCCTGATTCTAATGTGCAGCTGGGGACAAGAGTCACTGCCCACTCGAGTGACAAGGCCTTTGAAACCAGCCAGCTCCAAGTTAAAGTCTGGGCTGTGTTCCCGTGTGACACCCAGGCCACCTAACCTGGGTCTCTAGTGGATGGCCACTATTTGTAACACTCTCCTCCAACAGTACCCTGTTGAGCCTCTTGCAAGATGCAGCGTCCCCATTCTTAGTTCTTGGGTTTCTAGGATCTGACCAGCCAGAGCAGCTGGGCTGGGCTCACCATCCAGACCCAACCAATCAGAGCCTTCCAAACTCTTGGCACTCAGGGATTGGGTCAGGGCTGGGCTGGGTTCACCATCCAGAGCCGACCAATCAGAGCCTTCCCAACTCCTGGCCGTCAGGGATTGGGTCAGGGCTGGGCTGGGTTCACCATCCAGAGCTGACCAATCAGAGCCTTCCAAACTCTTGGCACTCGGGAATTGGGTCAGGGTTGGGCTGGTCTCACCATCCAGACCCGACCAATCACAGCCTTTCCAACTCCTGGACATCAGGGATTGGGTCAGAGCTGGGCTGGGTTCACCATCCAGACCTGACCAATCAGAGCCTTCCAAACTCCTAGCACTCAGGGATTGGGTCAGGGCTGTGGACATGATCCGTTCTTTGGCAAAGACTCAGTGAGAAATGAAAGCTACTTTTCATGTGGAATAGGTGGGGTTCTAGCGTAAAGAAAATCTGAGAGTGAAACCCACAGACGGAAGTGTGGAGGTCACCAGAGTCCCGAATCTAGCTTTGCCTGGAACCAGCGCTAACACCAGACTTGCCAGTTCCACGAGCCAATAAACTCCCTTTTTTATTCTGAAGCCAAATTTGAGTTGCGGTTGCTATCCCTCGCACCAAAAAGTCCTGACCCACTCTGTGAGGTTCATCTATAAAATGGGCGTAATGCCTACCTTCACAGGTGTAAAGTGAGGTTCGAATAAGATAACAGTATGTCGCATTCTGGGTGGATAGGAAGTGCTCCATACATATTTTTTCAATGTAAATAATCAAAGCAAAGGCTCAGTACAAAATGCGGTTTGTGAGGACCATCGGGCCCTGCTGCCAGCAACCTCCCCCTGATATTTACCTCCCCGCTAAGTCTTGTTAACCAGATGTAAGCACAGGCAACAGGACAGAGTAAGGCCATACATTTTCGGGCTGCTGACAGATGGCAGTGGAAATGCTCAAGCAGATTGTAGCATTAGGTGGCAGGAGGCAACACACACAGAGATGGATTTACTTTCTGCCTCCTTCCTGGGCACACACGTCGTTGCTACCTTCTGATCACTACCCTTCCACACATTTCCCCACGTCCGATGCACCAGCCACCCCGGACCCAAGGCGAGAGTGCTTTCTTCCTTGGGTACAGAGAGCTCTGTGCACTCTAGAAAATTCCTCTGCCTATATTAGTATCCCACGAGCCCTTGGGGCCCACACTGGGGTAAGCAGAGATAGTGGTGTGCACATAATACAGAGGACGTCGTCTCAGGGCGGCAGGCGCCGAGGACAAGGCCCTGTGGCCGGCTGGGGGCCGGGCTGGAGTAAGAGGCCAGGCACCAAGCGCGCGGTCTGGCAGCCTCTTGAACTCCGGTCACATGTTCAGGCCTCACCTCCATGGCTGGCACAGGGACCTCCAGGAGGGGCCATTTGTCCTCTTGGGACACTCGCTGAACCCCCACGTTCTGGGGGCCCCCACAATATGCCAGGCCTTTACATAATTGCCTTTTCCTCTCCATGTCAAAGAAGACACTGAGGTTCCAAGAAGTCCCCGGGCCCCGCTTCCACGGCAGTGAGTCAGAGAGGTGTGAGCCGAGCCCGGGGCCCACATGCCTCCACTGCCACAGGAGCCCCAGTGGGCTGGTCGGAGGGAAGACATACACAGTGCCTTTTCACCCACGCATGGGAGGTGGGGGCTGCTTGTCTCCCCCTCCCCCTGCCCAGGGGGCCTGGGATTTTATTCCCAGGAGAAAGACAGCTCATTTCAGGTGCGGACGTTGAAAGTAAACAGAGAGGAAATGTGCTTTTCCAGTCTCGAAGCCCTGAGAACGTTTACCTTAAGCTTCCCAGATTCAACAGACGCATTGAGAAAAGATCCAGACAATCTTCTTCCTCCTCAGCCCGGCTGCGAAGTGTCGATAGTACACCCTGCCCTCCCCAGTCTCCTCACGAGGGCCCAGGGGTGGGGGGACAGGGACGTTCCCCTCCTGTTGCCCGGCTTCTCATCCATTCAGGAGCCAGTGACCTTTCTCATGAGAGTCCGATCCAGTCACTCCCCTGCTTCAAAGCTCCCCTTTGCCCCAGGATGAATTCCCAGCACCCCTGCAAGCATGCAGGGCTTCTCGGTGGCGGTGGTAGGGCCCCACCTGTGCTCTAGGGCCCCGCCAGGACACACACATTGCTTGCAAGGCGGGTGTGTTAGTCTCCCGTGGCTACTCTAACAAGCTGCCACAGACTTGGTGTGGTGGCTCGAAACAACAGAACTGCATTCTCTCACACTCTGGACGCCCAAGTTGAAAATCAGCTTCACTGGACCCCAACCAGTGCATCACCAGAGCGGCACTCCCTCCCGAGGCTCCAGGGTAGAATCCATCCCTCACCTCCTTAGGCATCTGGTGGCCCTGACTTGTGGCCCTGTCACTCATCTCTGCCTCCACATCACCTCGTCTCAATGTGAATCATCTTCCTCTGCCTCTCTGATAAGCAGTCTTGTGATGGTACTGGGGTGATCCAGAATATTCTCTGCATCTCCAGATTCTTAATCACACCAGCAGGACCTTTAGCTTCTGAGGTAACACAGGTGCCCAGGATGAGGAGCGGTACCTTTGGGGGCCGCCACTCACACAGTGCAAAGCTCTGCGGGGGGGGGGGCGGGTTAAGAAAACAGTATTGGTGGGGGTGTGAAGGGCACGTCAGCTGCTTCAGAAAGGACCACCGTGGGGTTAACACTCAAGAGAGATACTGGAGCAGGTGACAGCCGGCAGGCTCCACGTGCTACTGTGTCAAGGTGACAGCCAGTGAGCCTGGATGCTTCCCTCCAGTGGGGAGGCAGTTTGATTAGGCTCAACGGCCTCCCTAGGGACCAGAGGCCCTTTCCCAGCAGGAATCTGAATACCACTATTAATCACACCACAGGAAGGTTCACAAGTAGTCAACAATGCTGGGCAGTTGGCATGGACTGACCCAAAACAGACCGCTTCTCTTCCTCCCCACCCTGTGTTCCCTGCTCGCATGAGCCTGTTGGCCCCCCGGGGACGGGGGCACTCTGGTGTCACCTGTAAAACCAAGGCAGGGCAGGTTCCGTCCTGCAAATGCCACCTCCCTGGGGGAGTACCACCCTGGGGGCATGGGGCCCACTCCAGCAGGAGGGCCCCCGCTCTGGGGAGCCTCAAATCTAGATGCTAATTTTGAGAGTATGGGCCTGGGACTGTCAGGAAATGATGTCCTCACAGCCACCAGAACCTCTGCAGTACTGAACAGGAAGACGGGGGGTTGAACGTTGCACTTCCAGCGGCCTCTGAGGTCGCAGAGCTGAGCTCCAATGCAGAAAGTAAACGGGACCAGAGAAGCAAAGGGAAGGGGGTGTGCCTGTGCATGTTTGCGGACTCCAGCTTTTCTGAATTAATCCGGGTGGATGAAACTCGGGAGGGGGGGTGTCCTTTTCCATGCACAAGGAATAGGACTTGTAAAGTCCCATCTGGTGGAGAGCAGAAGAAGGTTCACAGCACAAATGACTTTATGAAGCTGTATTCTCTGGTCTGGTGCTGAGGTACACTGGCTGAGGGCAAGTTGGAGCCAGAGGGCAATGTGCCAAAGCAGTCACAGCTGAGAGCCCAGAGCGCTGGGCTGGGGTGATGGTAGGCTGTTCAAGGCTTCGGGAGCAGTGGAAATGCACACTAAGGGAGGCCACTCTCCAGGCTGACCCCCAGCTGTTGCACATGCATCCTAGGACTGAGGAATGATCATCCAGAGGGACCTTCCCAGCTTCCCCCATGCTGCTGCCCATACCCCTCCTCCATCCGAGGAGTTTCCTCAAACTGCCGGGGAAAGCTTCACAGGGGCGCATGCACCTCCTCCACGGGCCTCCCAGAGAAGCAGGCCGGGAAGGCTGTGGGCTTGAGGCCATTTGGGTGGCCGTCCACTTTCAGAGGAGAGCAGCCTGCATGGAAGCATCTGGGAGGCTGGGGTAAGAAGAGGGGCCAGGGCAGGGCCCAGAGGAGAGGAAGGGGGGCCCAGCTGGCCATTAACATCAGGCTCTGGAAGCCACAGGAAGAAAGCTGAGGGAGCACTCACAATATCTTGTTGTCCAGCCTGGCTTTCCCCAGTGGGAAAGGGGGTAGCTGGGATCTGAGCCTGCAGCTTCATCCAGCATTTGGCTAAAGGGCCCCCTGTGCCAAAGCTGTAAGGAACCTAGTCTGGTGGATGGGATATTAGCATAAAAATGTCTTAATGAGTTCTCACTATGTAACAAATGACCCCCAGACAGTGGCTCAGAACCACACGCATTTATTATGTCACACACTTTCAGAAGCCTGGGAATTCGGAAGCACCTTAGCTTGACAGTCCTGGTTCAGTTTCTCATAAGGCTGCACTCATCTGAAGGCTCGACCAGGGCTGGAGCAAGAAGGCTCCCTCACATGGCTGTGGGCAGGAGACCCTCACCACAAGGGCCTCTCCATGGGCTGCCTGAATGTCAGCTTCCCCCAAAGGAAGCGAACCGAGAGAGACGGAAGCCGCCACGTGTGGTGTAACCTGCTCTCAGAAGTCATACTGTTGTTTTTACCACGTTCTATTTGTTAGAAACAAATCACTAAGTATAGCCCCCACTCAAGGGAGGAGGTAGGTCCCTAATTTGTAGTGAAGAATTTGTGGATGTATTTTGAAATGACCATTGCGTGTGGGTCTTCGCATTCTGCTGTGTTGATCTCATGCTCTCCAGTAATTAAGACTTAATTTGGGGGTAAGGTCTGAAGAGGAAGCATGTGGCTGCCTACAGCATGGATTCCCAGAAACAAAGGCATTTTGTGTTAAGAGTGTTTTTAGGCTCAATGGCAGTTCCGAGAAAGTAGATGGGGAGAGAGGTTTCTGAAAGCAGACCCAGTAAGATGTCTGTAGATGGCATGACATCTAGGAAAGGGCCCAGTCACAGCCAAGCAATTTTCTCGTGACAGATCTGTTTTGAAAGAGTCCTTGAACTCAGGCAGTTAGCTGAGCTGGGAGCGGGCAGATGAAAATGGGTTCTGGGCTCCAAATTCTGGCCCCGTTTCAACACATGACAGGTTGTAATGTCACTGAGCTCAAATCTGGGGACTTCAGAATTCTGGAGCCCCGGTGAGCAAAAGGAAAAGTTTGGCTGCTTAAAAATAACCCCACAACAGAAAAGGGCCATGTTATGTGTCAGTCAGTTGTGGGATGGTTCCTTGACCGGGTGGCACAGAGGCTGGTAGTGAATTTTTTCTTGGAGAACTTAGCAGAGCATTAGGACAGTATGCAAGTACCCTAGCTTAGGGTATGACCCCCCTCCATCTGGGAAGATGACCCTCTTAGGCCAGCCAGTGGCGGGAGGGACCCCAGGGAGGAAAGGGAACTGGGCCTGGTATGCTGGGCCAGCCACGCTGAAGGTGGATCGGTGGCCTCAGGCTGTCATCCTCACGGACACACCAGTCTGTAGTGCATCCCTCCTCACCTGCCCACACCAGCTCGGGCACAGCGAAGAGAAAGGTGCCAAACACACACACACACACACACACACACACTCATAAAATATCTTAACCCTTACCTTAGCTTTGTCACTAGAGACGTTAGCATTACTCACAACTCAACAGCATTTTTGGCTGTTTTATTTTTAGCCCTTGGAAACTTGTTTCAAGAAAAAGACATTGTCGTCAACATGAGACACTGGTTCACCGTTAGGAAATTATTAACATTGCAGTTTTCAAATGGGGTCTCAGGTACTCCCAGTAAACAGTTAAGCCTCTGGTGAGTATTTCGTACTGTGATCCGCAGCACACTATCATACCCTGCCTGCCTATAACATGGGCAGGAACACACATGCATGCTGCGCCCTTTCACACAGCCGCCGCTGGGAAGCACAGCTTTGCTTTTGCCCCGGACACTGGGGAAACTCCTCGTTGAGGACACTCACCTAAGAGGGGCCAGCTGCACAGCCCACTTTCGGCACCCCGGGGCTCAGAGTTACCTCAAAGCCCCAGGCTCCCTTCCACGTTATCAAGATCTCCCCCCCCACCCCCCGCCGTGGGCGTTCCAAAGAACAGGCTCCTGGTTCTGAATATAGTTCCAGAAGAATGCAAACGAGGTGGTTTCGGCAACGCTGCCTGCCTCCCTGCATCGAGTGTCCAGACCGCCCGGAAGGACCGCTCTGAGGAACCCCCACTGGAGGTGTGGGAGCCCTGGTCCACCTGCGGACAACTTCCATCCCCCTGTGGATGGAAGCAAACACCCATCTGAATGCTCGTGGCACTAGTTAAGGTCCCGAAGGGAAGAGCAGCAAGAAACGCTGGGTGCGTCAGATGCAGAGCTACAGGCCCACAACCTTGCCCTGCCCCTCTTCGGTACGACGTGGCCAGTGGAATAAAGCCCTTTACCGCGTAGCTCTGGGCCTGCGGACCTAAACAACTACCCGCCCCAACCGCAGGCTACAAAAGGAGGTACAAACACATACCATCACAGTTCTTGAAAGGGGGACTAGGCCAAGAAAGAGAAAACACAGGGACCTCTTCTGTTGCAGAAGGCAGAGCTCCCTTTGCTGGTTGTCGAGCTGCTAGTGCCCTCCCGGGGGGGTGAACCTCGCACTGTGGCCCGGCTCACAGCAGGTTCACGCCGTGCTTCAGCAGCTTCTGCTTGGCTTTGCCCGGGAGGCTGAAGGCGCTGTCCTGCGGGCTGGGGAAGCCGGAGCTCCGCGCGGCTGTGGCCAGCTGCTGGAAGTAGGTCTCCTGGGCGGGGCTGCAACAGGCGTACACCGCGGTGGAGGCGTTCCTGGGGCAGGGGGGGAGGGGGAGAAATGACCACGGGGGAGGGGAGAGATGACCGTTCGGCAGGGGGGGAGTGAGATGACCGTGGGGGGAGAGGTGACCGTGGCGGGGCGGGGAGAGATGACCATGGTGGGGGGAGAGATGACCGTGGTGGGTGGGGAGATGACCGTCCCGTGCCGCCTGTGCAGGCCTCTGACCACAGGGACCTCGAGAGGCACGCCACAGGGGCCCCGGGACTCTAACTGCCACGGGGTACGTCTGCTGTGACTCAGGGTTCAGCGTCTGCACTTGAGGTCCAGGCCTTGGCACCCATCACCATCTCTCTTTCCTCTCCATTCACTGGATGCTGGGACAGTGTGCAGTGACCGCAGCCACAGAGCCCAAGGTGGGAACAGCCGCAAGGCCGCATGGATGGCTGCACGTTGTGCTGATGGAACAGCAGCTATGGCAAATGCTCTCACGCGGCAGCAGTGTGACCCCAGGTGACAGACAGGGCCCTAGCTGACAGGCGGGGCTGGGCGGTGCCGCCAGGCTATCGTGGGGGATGGCTGGACAAGTGAAGGGAGTGTGGGCAGGGGGAGCGGGCTGTGACATGAAAGCGACAGGAAACCTGTCACAGAAGCAGAGGGAGAGATGCGCGTCCTGTGCAAAGGAGGACCCACTAGGGAGGAAGCGACTCCAGGGCCAGGCAACCAGCTGGTTCCTTGATCCTGCCTGCCTCGGACTATTTCTCCACTGGGCCTCAGTTTCCCCAAATCTAGTACGGGAAGGTGGAGTCAGGGACCACCAGGGTCCCCCTCACTGGGATCTCTGCGTCCAGGCAAGGAGGGAGGAGATTCCCATCCACCTCTAGCATCTCCCTCTGGGAGTGCAAGGGGCCAGAAGGGCCCCCCCGGCCTAGGTGTTTTGTGCCACTCCCTGGACCAGCAGGAGGAGTCATGCGTCAGTCATCCCAGCCACGGAGAGGGGGCGCCACGGCCTGGTGGTTACAAGCACGGAGCTGGGGTCCCACACCGGGGTGCTGATCCCGACCCTGTGGCTTCCTAGCTGCGTGCCCCTGGCTAAGTGACGCATCCTTTCTCAGTCCCAGCTCTAAGTCCCACATCTGTAAAGTGAATAGGACAACAGTGAATCCCGTCCCTGAGATTTTTTTAAGAGACTAGATGAGTCAAATACATATAAATTGTTTAGCATACGGTGAGGGGTTAAGAAATGGTGGCCGCTGTTTCTATTACTATTAAAATAAGCCACGTATCCGAACAATAGAACCCTCTCCACCCCAAGGAAGGCGGAGTACCACAGGGCCACGAGGAGGTTGATGGATCACAGGCTGACATTTCACTTATTTCCATCCCTCCCAAAACAGACCCCCACACACCCCAGTGCAACTGGTCCCAAAGCCGTGACTGGACACATTCATCTAGGTCGCCGGCCTGGGGCAGCTCGGACTTAAAGCCGGAGAAGGCACATTTTCATGGAAAGACACACTGAAGTATTGGCTGGAGATGGTCCTGGGCGGCACAGATGCCCGAAACCCCATGTGCAGGGTATTGGCACGGCATCGCCGTGATGGCCGAGGCCCCAGTGCACGTCTGTGGGAGTCCAGAGCCCACACCCCTCCCTCTCGACCGCCCTACCCCACCCCCTTGAGCTGGAAACGAGTGGACAGAATGTGTACTTCAGAGTCAGAGAGACATGGGTTCAAATCCTGCCCCTTAATCAGACTGTGACCCTGAGAGAAGCCACTTATCCTGTTTGTGCCTCAGTATCCTCATCTGTACCATGAGAACAAAAAATAATGCACTTGTCCAAATCATTCCAAGGACTGAGTGGAATAACAAACACAGAGCACACCCTCCCCTCCTGACCCTCTAACTTGCCTTATTTTCTCCTACCGGTTTCATAAGAGAAGCATGTAGGAAGAAAAAGTAGGATTCAGTTGGTTAAATATTATAAAGTACAATACTGATTTATAGATCTGTACCTACTGACACAGAGATGCTTAGAATATATAATAGAGTGAAAAAAGGAACTTGTAAAACAGTACATTAGTGTGATCCTGTTTTCTAGAAGAAAAACAAAGTAACTAAAATACTAACAATCTCTATTTTCTAAGGAAAGAAGAAAACCCCACAACAACAACAAAACCTGGAGTAAGAGACACCAGACTAACCCATGGGTATCTTTTGGGTGTGTGACGGGTGAGGGGAGGCAAACATTTTACTTCCTCGATTCGGGCCAGTCTGACCGTTTCTGTGAGCACGCGACCCAAGTTAGCAGGCAGCAACGGCATTCAGGCATCGCTTCTGACAGTAGACAGAAGCCCTCTGTCCCATGAGAAGAGGTGATGGTGGGTGGGCAGGGGAATGCATAAAAGGAGGCCTTAAAGAGAATCACTGTAATGTTCTTCATTTCGTTATGAATAAGGCTGGGGCCCAGACCCCCGGGAAGGCGGCTCTGGGTGCAGGACTTCAGGAGTAACCCAGGGCAGGGGCGGGGGGGACACTCACCTGACAGTCATCTCGTACAGTGCAGGCAGCTGGGCAAAGTCCGAGTGCATGAGGCTGACGGCCTGTAGGAAGCGGCGGTCCTGGGGGGTGGCCACCTGTGGCAGGTTTGCTTCCGGAAGAGGACACAGAAGTTGTGGGTAGTGGACTCCTCCCCCGCCCTCCCCACCCCCAGCACTATGAACAGGGAGAGCAGGGGGCTCAGGGCCATGAGTGCCATCAGCTGCCACCATGAGACAGAGAATGAGCAGCACCGGCGCCTGCCCATGAATACCAAAATCTCAAGGCAGACCTTATCACAGATATTTGAACATGTGTGTTCTTCTCTCAAAATGTTGGAGAAACAACCAAAAAAAGACAAATGAGTAAGGAAGTGTTTGCCAGTCGAATTCTAAACTCAGTGGGAGCTGGCTCCCAAGCGAGAAAGCAGCATCCTAACTGTAGTCCACAACTCTGGGCACAGCACCAACCCCGGGGGTGCCGGCCCCGAGTCCTCACCCCCACTCCTGTCTGGAGGCACCCGGGCCCCATGCGCCTCTCCTTACCAGTCAGCACGTTCTGAATGCGGTCATAATGCGTGAAGTTGTACGTCCTGCTGGGGGAGGCAGCCACGTCTTTGGGTAGTGTCTCCTTCAGGTGGACCTCCAGCCCGTTCAGGGATGCCAGGCTACTGCGGTACTGCAAAGGGACGGCACAGTCAACCTTAGCAGGCCAGTGCTTAGGAAATAATGACCCAAATATTATCCGAGTGGCCACCGGATGTAGCAGAAAGGACTCTGACTGGTGTTTTTACCTGCTTTTAGAGAAATACTAACTCATGCCCTTATGTTCTTTTTTTTAAGATTTACTTATTTGAGAGAGAGAGGGAGAGAGAGAGGGAGTGAACGTGGGGGGTGGAGGGGCAGAGGGAGAGAGAATCTTAAGCAGGCTCCACATCCAGTGCGGAACCCCACACGGGACTCAATCTCACAACCCTGAGATTATGACCTGGGCCAAAATCAAGAGTCGGACACTTAACCAACTGAGCCGCCTGGGCGCCGCTCCCACCCTTATGTTCTAATGCTTTCTTAAAATGTAGAAAAATCAGAAAGTAGAGGTGAACAGAAAAGCTGAGAAGAAAGAAAGCGAAGTTCTGATTTCTGGATCCACAGGTAATGTATTACTGGAACACAGCCACTACGTTTAGTTACATATTGTCTATGGTTGTGACTGTACTACAAGAGCGGAGCCGGGTAATTGTAGAAAACTGAAAATACGCACCAGGTGTTCCTTTACATTAAAAGTTTGCCAACCCCTGATATACACTAGCACACACATGACCCTTCACAACAGCCCCAGGAGACATGAAGCTGGGCTAATTCCTGGATCCTCCAGCTTCTAGTCAGTAGTAAAGCAAGTGGCTTGAATGTCAGTGTGTGCCATAATGTGCGGAAGAAATGATGCAGTAACACACCTTCTCCCAAAGCACCAGTTTCACAGCGGAGGGGTGCATTTTCATGAAGTACTTTACACTAATACCCTGGCACTAACCTCAGGCCTCATCTACTGTACACGGACAGCTCCAAGTCCTACTGTAGCAATGAATAACTGATCTGATCCCTGTATTTGAAGGTCAGTAAGATCATCTTGGGTTTTGAGTAGGAAACTATCAGTGGCTCTATGCTGCCCCCTGGTGTGAGCGTACTGTTTTCTCGGACCCACTGGCAACCTCTCCTGGCTGCTCCCCTCGCACACCCCCTTCCACCCAGCTCTCCGACCCCACCCTCAGCCAACATAAAGAGGTGGCAGTTCACCCGCTGAAAGACAAGATGGCAAATGACACGAAGGTCCCTTGGTGGTGTACAATATGATCATGGAGCCTTTTCAGATGGTGGGGGAGCTCACTGACCTATCTGAATTGTGGTTTACCATGCTGCAGGGGACCTGCTTTTCTTGACAGCAGGAGAAGAGAAATCAGGTCAAGTATTTTGTATGCAGTTCCAGGACAAAAAGGCAATAAAAGATCTCTCCCAATTATAAAACAGACAGCCTTCGGGCCTGATCAATAAAGCCCGCTCTCAAACCAACAAGCTGATCAAAGTTAGTTACTCCCGACTCTTTTCAGAAAAGAGTTTTTCTTTTTCATTACACTGCATCTCTTTCCTGGGGCCCGTCCCACACCAAACCCTCCTTTGCATGAAAGCCCAGGGAGGCCGCTGTGTCAGGACAGGAGCCCTGCATGACAAACCAAGGCCAGTCACTCCGGGGTCAGATCAGTGGGGGAACAGACAGGAGGGGGCAGGGAGAAAAGGAACAAGCCAGGGTTCTGGACCCTCCCGTTTTGTCTTCTTCCTGGTAAAACGGGAGTTACAGCGCCTACCCCCAGTGCTGCGCTCAGGCTTGGCTGAAATAGTAGACGTCAAGGTTTTAGTATCCACTGAATGCACACTACATTTTAATTTACTTCCTTCCTCAGGAGCAGCCTATGCTATTTTTTTTTTCTTTTTCTTTCTTTTGGGTGGGGCAGGGGGAGGTAAAGATAGCATATCCAACCTCATTGCATCCAAACGCTGGGCCTTCAAAATAACCTGTCTGCAGCTTGGGGCGAAGCGGAAGAGGCCCCAAGTACCAAGGCATCGTCAGGGAGACAAGAGACGGAGCACCGCGGGCCCCGGGGTGCTGGCGGAAGGGGGAGCGTAAGTCCCTCACAGCTGCAGTGAAGGAGGTACAGGAAGCAACGCAACCACCACTGGGTGCTGTGTGGACTGTGGAAAGGGGAGATTAGCCAGCAGGCCAGGAGAGGGGCAGCCTCTCGCCTGGGGCTCAGCGCAGAGGAAGCTGCCTCCCCTCCTCTTGAGCTCCAAGGTGACCGAGCCTGAGCCCTGCATGCTAATAAGATCGCCTTAGAATAATACAGATTTAAGAACAGAAACAAGGCAAGCCCCAGGACACCATTTGCCCTGCAGCTATTTCAACCTCCTGTTCTTCCTGCTACCACTTCCCTGCCAACCAGGCGAGGCTGTTACTATAGTAACTAGAGCTCCAGCGTGGGCCTAGGCTGTGAGCAGGCCAGTTCACGGCCCCGAGTGTGGAAGGGGCTGGAATGCTTTATGAGGAGCCTTCTGGAGCCCATTAGCATTTCAGATGTCCCAGGCCCGCTAGGAAGGGGCTGCAGATCACCACGGTTCAGTGGAGGGAAAGCACAGCCTTCTGGGATACTCCCCACCTGGGCTGTGGCTCGGGCAGAGTACAGACTCCAGCCCATACAGAACCTACAGCCACCTAGGCTGGGAAGGGAGGCCACTGGAGGTGGTGGTGATGGCGGCAGCACGACCCTGGCCGTGGTCCCCGTCTTCACCTGTGTGATGGTGTTCGCGCTGCACCGGAAGGGCAGGGCCCGTCAGCACCCCGACGCTGCTGAGGGGGAGGCCAGAGCATCCCCACCCTGCGCTCTGTGAAAACGGAAGAAGTGGGAAAGGGCCAGGGAACTGACTTTGTGGGATACCTCTGCCCCCAGCACTGTGCGCTGCACTGGACTCATTCACCCCCACCCAAGCCAGGCTGTAGGCACGACCGTCATCCGCACGTGGAAAGCCGGTGGGATGGCCCACAAGGTCCTGCAGCCCTGCATGGTGCTGCTGGGGAGGAAAACCTGCCCTGCTCGTCCCCGCCCCCAGGAGTCAGGTCTGCACACACTCACCACCTCCTCGATGGCAGCATCATCACCCAGCAGCGGCTCCTCAGCCAGCAGGGACAGCACCAGCCCGTTAACACTGTGGGTGTAGAGGTTCGTTGGCACGAGGCCCACACAGGATGCTGGGGCTGACCTTGGGGCACTTCCATGTGCGGAGGGACTGTAGTCGTCCTGAGACTCTGCCAAGTCTGAGCCGCCAGGTGCTAAGCAGCTGTCGTGCACCCCAACACGCTGCTCCACGCCCTGGTCCCCCACAGGCAGCGTGGTTCCTCTCTGCCTCAAGTCTGAGCAAGGCCATGACCGAGGTCTGCTCGTCCTTCTGGGGAGATGGTCTTCCCTGGGAAAGGGGGCTAGGCTGCTGTCCTCTGGGAGGTCGTCATGCTGTTCCAGGGCTCCGTTCTGGCTGAGCATCTCAGGAGTGGACGGAGAGAGGAGGCTGCTGATGGCCATGGCCACAACCGCGGGCGGGGCGTCAGGTAGCTCGGGTTCCCGGTCGCCAGAGTCCCTGACAAATTCCTCAAAGGCAGGACCACCACCATCTGGGGTGCCCATATTCGAGGGGGCAAAATAACCTGAGGCTGTTGCCGTTCCCTGAGCTTTTGGAATGTGGATGGCAGACAAGTCTGGCTCCTCCTCCCCCAAGGGCAGACGAAGTTCCTTCACCAGGGAGTAGCCAAGACCAGGACCCTCGTCCCTGGCAGGGCTGTGTAGTTTTGCAGGCTTGATGTTCTCCAGATCACGGCCAGGCAAGAGCCCATTCTCCCCCTTGCCATCTGGCCATGCTACGTCAGGACATGCAACCTCGGGAGTGGCTGCCCGCATCCAGGCTGTGGATTCCACGTGGCCAGTGGTGCTGTCTGTCGGGGCAGCAGAGCTCCGAGGGTGTGGATGCTGCTGGGCTGAGCACTCCTGGAGTCTGGCTGGCGCTGTAGCAGGGCTGGCAAATAAGGCAGACATGAGGGAGGGGCGCCCGGCCAAATGCAGGGCAGGTACCCTTCCCTGGAGACACTAAAGAACCGCTTCCCTAAAAAGCAGGGCCACTGGTGACAAGTGGGTGCCCGAGGCCACAGAGCTGAAGAGGCCTTGGTGGGCAAACCACAGGAGTAAAAGGAAGGCACTGTCTGGCGGTCAGGGCTTCACATGGTGCTACCCGATCACCTGCTGGAGACGGCAGGGCCCCACTGTGCGAGAGCCAGCCCCATGTGCAAGTCTGCTCTGAGTCAGGGCCTGGACCGGATACTATACGTACACTATTTCCGATTTTGACACCAAGCCCATAAAGTAGGTTATCACTGGGTCTCTTTTACAGACGAAAACGCTAAGGCTCTGGCAGGGAATGGACTTGCCCAAGGTCACACAGATGACAGGCAACAGATCTATGACTTGAAACCGACAGCCATCTCACGATGCCAGGCACCTGTTATCTACGTGCTCGAGTCCCAGATGCCCCTTCCATGGCAGAGCATGGGGAATATGGCATACGGAAGGCTAGGATGTCCAGGGGCTTGTGTGCATACACCCACGTGAGGGAGTCCCTCCAGTACAGTCTACCAGGAACCGCTGTGGCTCCAGTACCTAGCTGCCTGCTCCCTCGGGAACTCGTGGAGACTGGTGGCCTCCTCTTCGGTCAGGAACACAGGCATGATCTGGACATTTGGGGGGAGTGCCGCTTCTGGAATCACAAAGCAACATGGACAGGGCTCAGCCCTGGGCCGGGGAAGATGGAGGGGCAGTCACTGCACTTCAGGGGGACGCAACCAACCCACACACCTGCTCAGAGGAGTGCTCTGACATGCTCCTCAGCCCAGAACAAAAGACACAAACCCATAGCTACCGTTCCCGTGCCCAGCAAGGATGGAGCCCTCACGGGCAGCTTTACTCCTCACTGTGGAGAAAAGTGACTTTTGGGGGGAAGAAAATCTAGTGGCACATAAAAAAAAACCAAAAACAGATAAAAGCTGGAAAAAGCACTTCCAACTGACAACAGGGATCTGCCCTACCTTGGGCTTCAAAATAAAACAAAATAACCATCTTGGGGACACCTCCACATCCTGCAGAAGGTCTTTCTGGCCACTGCCATTTATCTTAGCCCCTCCTAACCAGGATCCCCTGGACCTAGTTTAAGCAGCCTCGTAACAATGAGGGAGGGAGCATATGAAAACAGGGATTTAGAAGGTACGTCTAAAATTATGAGCCTTACGATCAGGATTCTGATGGCTAACTTTGTTCTTAAAGCTCTCGTCTGTTCTCCTAATCTATGAACAGATGAGATGACCCATGGGACTGCTTGGCCTCTCCCATGACTTGTGTAGGGGACAGACAGCATAAAAGACCGCGTTCTCAAGAGGCAGTGAGGCACCTTGCCACTCACCCCGTTCCTGTGGGCCACCCCCTCCTGCAGGTCTTCTCTGCAAATAAATACACACACAAGTTGGCACCGCGGACCGCTTTCTCCTCCCAACCCAATCATGACTGCGCCGGGCCATCTGTTTGGGAAACTTAGCCAGGCCCAGAATGTTGGTCCCCTCCGCATGCCAGCAGCAAAGCAGATGGAACAGAAGCTCCCCCGAGCTGCTTGCTCACCACCACGGCCGGGATCAGGCAAGAACCTGCACCCTGCACAAGCAGCAGCTTCCCCCCCAAATGTGCATCAGGCTTCACGCTGATTGCTGTTTCCCTCCTGTGGGAAGGAAAGCGAGGATTCCTGTTAACCTTTTATGCCTCCAGAGAACACATCTGTCACCATATCCCTGCACCTGCCACAGCCCTGGTGTGGAATGTACCAGCTCAACAGGTATGTGAACGCCCCATGACCCTCGTGATAAAGGATCTGACCTAAACCAAAGGCTATGCAAGAGCTCTCTGGCTTATTCTGATTCACAATCAAGGTGACAATCCTAATTTTCTCCCAAATTAGGAATTTTCTCAAAAGAGCTTTCCAGACAGTTCAACCAAAGGTTCTAAAATAAGCCACCAAAACAAAAACCAAAAACTCTAGCCAGCATGGCTTGCACTCCTATGAAATGATGTGGCCTTCTTTCTTTTTTTTAGGAGCTTTTTAAAAAACTCATATTTCAAGTTATATAATTTTACTCTATATAATTCCCCCCCAAAAAAATCACATAATTCCCTCACCCACAAGCTAATACTGTTAATTTGAGGCATATTTTTCTTTAAGTTTATGCATTTTAAAAAATACTTTGAAATCACATTATATAAAATTCTATTTTTTTGCTTAAAAACAGACGCTCTGGACAAAGTGTCCCAGTCGGGTGAGGGGGCTTTACAATACCTGGTGCTGAGATGCAGCTGGGCGAATCAGGACCTTGGCCGTGAGGGAGGGTGGGAGCTGGGTACTAACAATCCTAGATCATAGGAACAAAAACACCATGAGACAAAATACATCATAGGACTCTGAATTGGAAAGATTCCTAACACCCTAACTGGTGAGGATCTTGGCGGGGGGGGGCGCACCTGGGTGGCTCAGTAGGTTAAGCGTCTGCCTTCGGCTCAGGTCATGACCCCAGAGTCCTGAGATTGAGCCCTCTGTTGGGCTCCCTGCTCTGCTCTCCCTCTCAAATCAATAAATAAAATATTAAAAAAAAAAAGATCTTGGGGACACAGCCAGTGGGAGTTTCAACTGGCAGAAAGCCCTTTATGGAGGGCACTCTGGCCATTCCTACCGAACTTCAAAAAATGTCCAAACCCTCTGACCTGCCTTGTACCAAGATGCATGCTGAAGAGTACTGATTATCAAAAAAATGGCAAAATCATTACAGAAATGGGTAAACTCCACAAATGCCCATCGAACAGAGAGTAATTAAGGAAATCATGGCACAGCCTTAACACCAAAAGGTATGCGGTGATTCTAAGAATGAAGTAGACCAGCATGGACTGACAGAGAAATCTCTACTGTACACGCTGAGGAGCCTTATGATCCCATTTATGGATGCGGCAAAAATAAACAGAAGCAATGTCCGCTGATGTGCCGGAAACACAAGGAAAAGCAAAGGACGTGCCTCCACCTGCTAACAGTGAGTCTGGGCTCAGAAGAACTTGGGAACTGCACTGTGTGTGTTTCTGTCTTGGTTCGGTTTTTTTTTTTTTTTGGTTTTTTGTTTTTCACAATGAGACCCTGTTCACACATTAGGTGTACGAGAATGTGACATGAGAAAAGGAGGAAAACATCATGCTTGATGCCATGCCACCGGTGAGCCTGGAGGCACCACGAGCAGGTTCCGAACCGTCATCATGAGCAAAGGGGAAAGGCATGATGGTGTGCTGTGCCGAGGGCCACTGGGAAGCAGTGGGTCCTTTTCTGTTGGCCCTCTCATTTCGTTCTTTCCTGGTAGAGAAAACTCAGCAAGCAACCAGCCTGGGGTCACAGGGCCGGGAAGGTGAGGCCAGGACTGGAAACCCAGCCCATCAGGCCCCCAGAACTTCTCCAGTCACACATTCATCCAGTCATCAGTAAGCTCTGGATGCAAACAGCAACCCCCCAGGAGGAGAGCTGCCTTGCACCACGCGTGGAGGGGCCCTCCAACTACGTGAAGAGGTGTGCTGAGATCTCAGAGGCCAGCCGGGCGACGGACCCAGCTGAGAGGCTGGCAGGAGCCCGAGCAGAAGCAGGTACGGCCGCTCTGCAAGGCTGGCGACAGCCAAGTGCCCCGGAGCCCCGGGCAGCAGGAGGGGCCCGCGGCAGGCTTCCACACCCCTTTACCTACGGTGCTGGCCTCTGGCGACCTGGGGATGCCCCATGCTGAGACTTACGTGGACCTCTCCAAAACTGCCTTTTATATTCCTAACCCTTTTCTGGACATAATTTCTAATTTCCCGGCTTTGCTGAAAGACAGGTATGTCCCCTAGGTCAAATCTAAACGACCTGGTATTTGCCAAAGCAGCCTTCTTGGAACTGGCCAGAGACGGAGCTCCCCACGGGTGACCTGGTGGTGGCCTGGCTGATCAGTTCTGCGTTACAGGGAGAGGGGTCTGGTGTTACTCACAGTCCCTTATAGAGGATGCAGCCGGCTAGAATGTGAGGTGAACGCTGGCAGGCCTGCAGAATGAGGGCTGCCTTCAGCAACAACAGGGGTTCCACCTGTGCAGGGCGAGAAGCACAGCCACAAGTAAGCATGCTCACCACCAGCCAAGCTGGGAAGGGGGGAGGCTTTACAGAATGGAGGGACGGGTGCTAAGCCAAAACTGGGGAAAAGGAGAAGGTGCCATGTGGGAAGATCTGTGTCACGTCATGGGTCTGCATTCCACCTCTCTATACCCAGAACTGCAGACGATGCAAAATGCCAAGTTCTTGGAATGGGGCGGCTTCTGCCGAAGCAGGAAGGTGTGGCGAATGTGGCCTATGGCCGCTCACAGGGGGCAAGGTAGGTCCCCGCTTAGGAGACCCTGACTCGATGCTGAGACCGGGAGGCAGCGGATGGGAGAGGCTACCCCTCAAACACAGGCCACAGCGCCAGGTAAAACCAAACACCCCTTCCGCTCCCCTCCCTCTGGAGCACAAGCCCCACTGCCACAGAGCTAGCTGGCTTCGTGTGGCCTCATAACTCTGTCCTGTAACAGGCAATGAAAACATCGTGGTCTCTCACTCAGAGAAATACTCCTCAGCTCCAGGGTCCTTGTAAGGAGTCAGTTGCCTACAAGTCCCTAAAAATACCAGAGAAGGATCTGAACCCGGTCAGGAGTCACCAGCAGTGACTAAAAGCCTCCTTCCTGTTTCCTGCTGGCAGCTAGAACCCGCAACGCCATCGCCATCACAGTTCCGTGGCAATGGAGCAAGTTCTGGAGCTGACGCTCCTCTCTCACATCCTAGAGACAGTGCCCGGGCCCAGCCAGCCATTCGGCAAAGCTCTGGGGCCCACTTTGAACATTTCTCCCAACCAGAGCCAGAAAAACCCGCCCCCATTTCTGGCCAGAGTCAGGTTCTGTGAAGGCAGAGTCACGACGCCACATCCCTTTTGAAGGGACCCTCTCAGCTCCTGCAGTGAGACACGCCGCACGGCCCACACATCTCCTTGGGGGCTGGGGGCGCAGGCACTCGCTTCTTAACGGGGCACAGCCTCGCGTCTCCCTTTGGCCCTTGACAATGAGGATGTGATGTTCACCAGGATCAAGGCCACGGAGCAACGGGCAGTCAGGCCAGCCATATAAGCAGCTGACACATCACTGAACGCCGGTAGCCAGTGGAACGGCTCCTGAGCACTCTCTCCCAGACAGAGAGATCTTGTTTTTAAAATGTTACCACTGGGCATTTTTGATGTTGAGAACACAAGGCAATCGTAGATTATCCTTATCAAGAGAGACAGGGGGCGCCTGGGTGGCTCAGTTGGTTAAGCGACTGCCTTCGGCTCAGGTCATGATCCTGGAGTCCCAGGATCGAGTCCCACATCGGACTCCCTGCTCAGTGGGGAGTCTGCTTCTCCCTCTGACCCTCCCCCCTCTCATGTACTCTCTCTCTCTCAAATAAACAAAATCTTTAAAAAAAAAAAAAGAGAGAGAGAGAGAGACGGGGACCCTCAGATGCCAGAGTTCCACACTTCTGGGACACTAACGAAATAACACTCCCCTCTACGGAGTATTTACTTCATGCCGTTTCAAGCACTGTCTCACTATACTGTCTATCAACAGTTGTGGGAGAGGGCACGGTGACGGCAGTGTGTGGGTCTGGGAAGCGGGCTCTGTTCCTTTATAGGAAATGGGTACGGGGGATGAGGGTGTTACTTGAGTTCGGTCCAGGTTCCAGAGGGAACTGAATATCTTGTGCAGATCACTGGTGTTTTTCAGAATCTGTTCAATGAAGGTGTCCCATTCAGCGTGCAGGTCTTCCTGAGAGCGGTTCTAAAACGGGAACCACCTGAGGTCAGCGTCTGAGATTCCACAAGACACACCCTTTGGCAAGGCTCCCTACTTCTGCAAAACTCGTTCCTCACACAGGAAAATGGCCAGAAGGCAGGGCCCACTTTAAACCTCCTTTAAACATGAGACCCCCACCTGCCGCCCCCTGAGAACTCAGCCACCACAGACCCAGCGCACGTGTGGGGGACGGGTGGCAACCTGCTCTTTCCAACAGTCCCAGGGAGGAGGACATGGGGACAGACATTGGCAGTGGATGTGACCTACACCGCTGGGGAACAAAGGCATCTGACGGGGTCTCCAAGGCCCCTTGACCTTGTTGGTAGACACGCTGTATTATTTACGCCAAGTGTAACAGCCCCTAGAGTAATGCTGTGTTCTGGCAACATCAGGTTTACTGAAAACTCCTCGCTACTATCTCCATACCTTGTAAGCCAGAGAAACAGGTCCATTGTAAAAATTAAAGACTCCAATGAGCTGATCCAGAAATTGCTTGCAGCTAACGTCAGGGAGCTCCACAGCACAGCCCAGGACCTGGAAAGAGGGAAACCAGAAGACGGGCATTTTCCTTTGCTTTGAGTCCAAGCCTGAAAGCCCGGCACCCGGGGCTCTGCAGAGCTCGAATTCACTGACTCACCGATGGGTCTACCCCAGGCTCACATCGTCTAGCCCAGCTGGTCTCCAAGACAACAAGTACTTTTTGTATCGACTCATGTTGTCTCACCTGGAATGCCCTCCTTTCTCCTATTTGTCCACAGCTCTCCCGTCCCCTTGGTGCCTGCTACAGATTCCAGCACCTTCGTGGTGCCCATTCTGCTCACTCTAACGGATGCTGATGTCTTTTCTGAGCCCTTACATTATCAGGACTGTTATCTGGGCACTGGATGCTTAATGTGGGTTTCACTACAAACACTGGACGGGACTCCGACCGATTCATGAATGGCACTCTTGTCTCCCCGGCTGGGTCAAGTGCTTTGGGGAGGGAACTGACTGATCATCACACTGTTCTAGAGCCCCGGAATACTGCTACATGTGCTCGGTCAGAAAGGAATCTGGCTGTATGTGTAAAGAGCCTGAAGAAAGTTTGTATTCTTTGACTCAGTGATTCCACCTGTAGGAATCTTTCCTGAGGGAATCACCAGAAACTTAAAGCAACAAAAAAACCCTGGCAGAAAACAGACACATTCCCTCTGAATGGAGGCTACCCCCGGGGCCAGGATCTTTGTTTTGTTCACTGATGTAATCCACAGCCTGGCACACAGTCAGTGCTTACCTCTTCCCTGATTAATCTATAGACTGAATGTAACTCTAATCATCATCTGCCATCTTTTCCTTCAAAAACTGACACGCTGATTTTACAAGGGAAACTTACAAAGGACCTAAAATACCCGAAGTTGTCTTGGAAAAGCGTAAAGCTGGAGGACTTAGACTATCCGATTTCAAGACAGTGCAGTACTTGGATGGGATCTTCTAATAGATCAATGGAAAAGAGGAGAACCCAGAAACAGACCCCCCCCCCCACTACAGCGGTCATCTGATCGTCAACAAAGGAGCCAAAGGAATCCAAGCGGGAGAGTTTTTTCAACCATGGTGCTGGAACCACTGGATATCCATAGGGAAAAAGAGAACCTTTGACCTCTATTTCACACCATGCACAAATATTAATCCAAGATGGGTTACAGACTTAAGTTTAAAAGCTAAAACTGGTGGGCGGAGCAAGATGGCGGAGGAGTAGGAGACCTGGATTTCGTCTGGTCTCAGGAATTCAGCTGAATAGGGATCAAACCATTCTGAACACCTAC